CTGTGAGTGTGGGGCATCTGCTAAGGACAACACATGTCTGAGTTACAAATTAAGGGAACCAGGATCAGCTATGACTTGATGCATCCCTGAGAGGGTCACAACCCTATTAAACATGGGATGTTGACAGTAGTTCCTTAATATTTCATCATGGACAATGTTTGCAAACAAGCTAATTCTAGAGGATAAGTTGCTTCACTGTGCGCTCGACCAGGCACCTCTGTGGTCAGACTTGCTTTTTGCAATACCCATCACATGCTTAAAAGGAAAGCAATTCAGTAACAAAAACAGCTCAACTCAAAAATACAAGTGATTAGAATAAATTAATAGATTGTTCTATCTTGAGAATAGTATTACAAGTACAATGAAGGAATCAAGCATTTAAATAAATTAACATGTACAATTTTAAATTAAATTATTAGGCAACTTATGATGTTTTGAAATTCAAGATAGGCAGATCTGATCACAGGTTATTTTCTCAATTAGTACATACAGGTAACTGCCAAAACAAGTAGAGAAGAAGAATCACATTCTCTGGACTACACTAGTCTTCCTAGAAAATAAAAATACTGAGGATGTCACTTCATATTGTATGACAGCCATATGGGGGGCAACCCATTCAAATTCCTATTGGGAGCAACGCTTGATAAAAATTATGGCACATTCCTCTAATATACAGTGCATTCTGGGTAGCTGCATACCAGATTTAAGCATCTGTCGGATTCTGTAGTACAGTACAAGGATACAGTTTTTCTGCTCGGGTGTAACCTTCAAGCCAGCGAAATGCCACTCATAAGTTATCAGTGTTAGGACAACACTTATTTCACTCAGAAGGATAATGAAGGTTGTTACACTTTTAAACCAAGGATATACTGCCCTTCCCCTGCATTAATTTTGCTAAATATCAATAAGCAAGCAAATCCTGTTTCTAAAAACTACTGCAATGAGTCTCAACAGAAAGAAAATTCATTTGTGTATATATGTTACGGAACAGAATGCACTGTAGGTACAGAGGCTTTGATGCACGCACTATATAGGGGTAAAGAAGAGGCCTCACAGAGGAGAGTGACTTGAGATGTGGGTGGAATCGATGCGTAGGTGCAATAGATGAACACATGGTGCTAGACTGAGAGGCAGCTCTTCTAAGGATTGGCATCAGTGGCCATGTTGAAGTCATCTGCAACCAGCAGCAGTGCTTCAATGTTGGCAGCTGTCTCGGGGCTCTGCAGGGAGAGAAAATCCGAGACATCCATATTGGCTAACCCGTCTGTTGAGGGTGGGTTAGTGGTGGCAGTGCCGCTCTCTGCTGTGGTGAAAGTCTGAGCTGAGGAGGAAGAAGAAGAGGGGGGCTCGACCCTCACGTCACCCACCTTGGAGGAAGACCCAGGGAGGCAGCATGAGGAGGCTGGATGCTGTGGAAGCTCTGAGGGCTGTGATAATGGGGGAGGAGGGGGCTCTGATGGCTGCTGCTGTGCTCGAGCTGAAACACTGGAGGAGGCACTCTTTGAACTCTTGTCTTTTGTCGAGTCCCTGCAGGCACACTGGCACTGGCAGGATTCCTCCTGTTTGATAATGATGACTGGCAAGCTGAGACCGATCTGCTGGACTGAGCTACCTGAAACAGAAAAAAAAAAATTTCACTGAAAAAAATATAGTGGCCAAGTTGATAGCAATTCTTTATCATTTGCTTTCCAGATGTACAGCCAATGAAAATATTTACAATAAAAGCCATTGAGGTTTAGGGGTGAGAAATTAAACTGGCATTCATCAGTTGTTGAATGTAAAGGGGACAAGAGTTGATACCTCATGTCATGGCATGATAGATCTCTGAGTCAACAATCAAAAATAAAAAAAATTAGAACAGAATGTGATGAAGGTAGAATCGATGACAGCAGGTGACCAACATGGTCCTAGAAGGATCTTGAAGAGTTAAACTTTATGAGAACAACTGCAATCAGACAGGATTGAATAGGACAACAAGAATAACATTAAAATTGAAAGAAGTGGTTGAATGATAAATCATTCAGCAGAAAAATAATCTGTAACAGTTCTGCTGGTTGATTAAGTGCAATTTAATCATCAAACAAAACACCCCAAACATTCTCAACTTCACATGCTCAAATGTGAGGATCTTCTCCATTTCTGTCTTGTATCACTGTAAATTATACAATTTTGGACCATTGGTCTGACACTGAAAGAAAACTGAACAATTAAATAAAGAATATTTGATTGATTAATCATCACTGTTATATTTACTATTGTTCTTATTCTTGCTGGAATACCTGAAGTAACTAAATTTCGTTTCACTGTGTATCTTGTACGCTCACCAGCCACTTTAATAGTCACATCTGTACAACTGTCTGCAATTCAATTCAATTACAATTTCACCAAACCAAAAACAAGCATTTTGAGCTTCATAAACACAGAAGTTAAGGTGGAAGTGTTGCAATGAAGTGCAGACAATTGTATGGGTGTACCTAATAAAGTGGCTGATGCGTGTATATGACAATAAAAGTTGAGTTTGGTTGAAAACCAATCAGTATCCAGCCCAAAACATTTACTGTTGTTTCTATCAGGGCAGTACTTGACATGTTTAGACTGGTCAGTCCTCATGCTGATATCTGCTCTTCTTATAGCTCCTGAATGTTATAAGCTTTCACTTGTCAATTTTTTTATGAAACACTACAAAGTAATACTGTTTAGTGATGTGCATTAACAGAACATCAGCATCTTGGAACTGCATTTGTATAATAAAAGCAGTGTGACAGTATCTTAATGGAGCTCCAATCTACCATGTAATTAGTCCTAATAAAGCTAAATTCTCCTCTGGACGGCAAAACAAATTTATAGTTTCAGAATGTTGGCCAATGCCCACCATGTGAATAAATACACACCGACTTACCAGCATTTCCTCCAACTGGTATGGCTGTAGTGAAGAAAACCTTTTCCACTTTTGGAGCTCCTTGATGTGGCTGTGAACAAACATTGACCAGCACAGCTCAAACAGAGTAAATAAAAAAAAAAAAAAAGCTAGTTGTGACAATATTATTATTCAGGTTGATTCCCCAGAATTTCTATTGTGTCAAAAGGCTGTGACTGGTGTATGGTGGCTGAATTAAGTTCCATTGTTAACAAGAACAACCTATTCCTTTGCTACATTTATCTATGTATGATGGCCATACCTCTAACAGCTATCGCTTCCCCCACCATTTCAATTTATATATACATTTGCTAAATTAGGTGTTCAAAGTTTTGCATAATTACTTAACCACTGTTTGCTAATCCTCTCACATGAACAAGTTTGGGATTAGAAGACAAAATGCAGGAAATCTCTCATTTGCATTGTAATGCATATAGAAATGTTTTTTAACTGCAGAACACATCTCAAAATAAAGACTAGTGCAAATCAAGTTACAATTCCTCTGTGGAATCTTTACTCACTGCTTGCTCAGGGTTCTGCTGGCTGTTGGCAGCACTGCTGAGAATCCACTGGAGGTTCTGGTCAGACATGACCAAGCTGGGCTGCAGTAGGTTCTGTGTGGGTGCTATGTTGATGGTGGCCGGGGTGGGAGTCAGACCAAGGCCAGAGCTGGGGACAGGATTACTGGCCAAAGGCACAGGTTGAGCCACAGCTCCCAGAGCATCTGTTGTGCTGGCTGCAACAACAGATACAGCAGCAGTGCCTGGTGCTGTGGTGGTCAGTACTGGAGCTGCAGGAGGAGGAGGAGCAGAGATGGGTGGCGGTTGAGAAGAGGCCTGGGTGGCACTATCTGGCTGAAGGAATGTGGGTGGCAGTGCCACAAAACGCTGAGGGGGGACATGGTTTGCTGCTGGGACAGAAGCCTGAGCAGGCGCATCGGAGATCTGCTGAGGCCCTTTTTGCTGCATGAAAGGGGGAAGCTGAGTGGAGCTGACAGTAGCAGTGACAGAAGCAGAGATGGAAGCCTGACAGGAAGAGCTTTGACTGAGGTGGGAAGGAGCTTCCATGACTGTAGTTGTGTGGGAACAGGAAGACGAAGAGGTAGGACTGATAGAAAAAGAGATGAGGGATGAGGCATCAGTCACTCCTGGTTGGGTGGACGTCTCCAGGGTGAAGGGTTCAGCAAGGCTCTCTGAGGAAGGAAATACATCCTCCATCAGTGAACAAGAACATTCAATACAATTCAAGAAGGCAGGTTTGGAAATGTTCTTACTGTTGGGATTGGCATCATCTTGGCTGACACTATTTTCAGGACTCTGGAACATGAGCTCAAAGATTTTCACAGGGGTCATGTTGTTAAAGTCCAAATTTTGAGCCTGCAATAACATTAAAATTAACCAAAGATTTAATGAATGCATTAAACGATATTAGTGAGTGATACTAGAGGCCTAGGCTTTCACTTTGTACTACAATGGATAGAAAATGACAATGTTGGATGTCAAAATAGCTGCCTTTTAATGGACATCTCTACTGACTATCTTGACAGTTTCTCTGCATCTTCAATCCAAAGTCATCCAATGTCTGATAAAGCAAAGGCCAATCTTACATTGTGGATGTTCTCTCGTAGCTCTGAGTCTGTAGAGATGAGGCTCAAGTCACTGAGGCACAGTGAATGATTTGCATCCTGTAATTAACAGATGAAGGTCTAATTAAACTTGCCAGTGCTGTGGGATCAAGCGCTGAGTCATGCAAACAAGACAGGGAGTGAAATTAGAAAAGAACATGACATGTACTGTTTGTAAATGCAAACATTTTAAAAGTTTCACTTCAAAGGAAGCCCAATTTTCCATGTTATGCACATGTTAGAACAAGTTGTTAATTAGGTGAATGCAATGCGGACCATGATTGCACATGCTGAACAAGATGTTGTGCCAAGACAGACAGATAACCTCCTACACTCTAAGAAGATGCTGTGCTGTGACTCACTTCAGAGAGCGGATGGGTGAGGGTGACACTGAAAGGCTGTCCTTTGTCATGGCCCCTGATGTGACTCTTCAGACTATACTGGCTGCTGAAAGTCTTCTCACAGCCGTCACTGGGACAGTTGAATGGCTTCTCCCCTAAAGAGACAGAAGGAAGAATATGGAATGTGACTGAAAGGTAAGAGCTTGCTCCCTTACTTTTATTTGAATTGTTGCACACTACCAGAAACACAAGCAAAGAACTTAAGCACAGAATTTACTGTTTTACTTTAACATCTAACAATGTTTGACTGGATACAAAGCATTAAAAACACAGGTTCACAGTTCTCCTTCATTTGAATAAAACTAAGTTTAGGAGACTGAAATATTATTCTCATGCTCCACTATGTTTTTTCATTTACAGTTTAGAAGGATCGCCAATATAAATAACTACTAATAATGAACTAGATATTAGAAACCGCGTGAACAGGAGTGATCAGCTGCCACTCTCCCCAAACAAGCAAATAAGCATTTGAGCAAAGAACTTTGGCCTTAGCTGCCTACGTGGTAATCTCCATTTAGGGAATTTATTTCTGCAATTAATACAAGTGCACATGAACATCTTTTTTTCTACACGTCCATGTTCAAGCTACCTTAGATAGATCAAGGTTACATAAAACAAGCCCCCTAATATGTACCTGTGTGTGTCCGTACATGTGTTTTTAGGTGATGACTTGCGGCAAAGGCTTTGCCACAGCCATCGTGATCACACCTGAAGGCAAGAACAGGAAAACATTATTACAAAAAATATTTAAGACTAGACAGTGATGAATTCACAAGACACCGTAAAGCTATGTCCCTGCTAGAACAGCGATATAAACATATTTACATCCTAGATTCAGTATTGTCATATATAGCAATCAGCAGGGATCCAACAATGGATCAAAGTTCAATATATTGCAATACAAAATGTCACAATATGTATACTTTTGTCTAGAGATATATACACCGGCACTTCATAGCTTTTATAAATAAGCCTAACAAAATATAAGTCAATATATGTGGTTGTCCATAACATTGTCAAACCAGTGGTAGAAAAGGGAAAAAGAGGAATAAGTACAAGTATTCCGCAGCTAGCCATACATTGTCACTGAATTTTTAAATGTATCGTGATCGAATTGAATCATATCAAGAAAAGTAATATCGTCCCATCCACGTGCATTTCATTTCTGCTATGGACCACAGACTAACCAAAATGCAGCCCCCAAGACACCACAGCGAAACACATCATGAGTAAAAATGTAATATGAAAACCTGTCAAAACCGAATTTGTGTAGTCAAACATTAAAACAGACAGAGAGCAGTTTGTGAGTATCTATTAGTACCATTGTTCCTTCATTTTGTACTGAGACCGGGTTAAGCCTGTTAAGATAAAGGGAACACTCACCGGAATGGCTTCTCCCCAGTGTGTGTGCGAATGTGCTTCCTCAAGTCACTGAGTGTGGTAAAGTACTTTGTGCATCCCTCTGATTCACAGTTGAATGTCTTGCCTGTGTGAAGTCTCTGGTGTGCTTTTAGTCTGCAGAGATAATCAAGTGTGTTTCATTAAGCCACAATGGGAGACTTACGGAGAAATCGAAACAGTACAGTGGCATCAAACAGCATGTGTTAACTCCTTTTGTACCTAATTTAAGAATGCCTACTAAGCACATAAAAAAGACAACTTAGTCCACACACAGACGACAATGGAATCTAATCAGACAGAGAAAACAACTCAAAGCACACACACACACTCTCCCAGCAGTGGTCGTATAAGAGAGTCTGGGTGGCACGGAAGAGGCAAGAGGAAACTAATGTTATTAAACAGACAATCCACCCATTCGTAGCATCGGTTGGCTGCCTTGAGTTAACAGCCTCTGACACAGAGGTGATGGTGGGGGCACAAATCCCAGACATGTTGTCATAGCAACTGAACCAATACAGACCAGGGGGCTTGTCTGTGGACAGCTTGAGATGACAGCAAAGTCATAATGGTGAAAATGTTATAAACCAAGAACATGCATGTCAGGCGTTGGTCAAAATAAATATCTACCAGAATGTTATTGTTGTCTTCTATCAGAGTTACCAGAGCTACTGGAGTGGGTCTAGTCATTTAATCAAGCTGCCATATTCCATCAAGACATTAGCTACTGTATGTCAAATCCTGTCTTCTCCCTCCCAGAATCAGCCCTAAACTGTATGGTGTACATAGTGATTCTGAACATTTGAAATGATACAGATACTCATTACGTGCTGTAGCAAACTCACCGCTTCACCAAAAATTTGAGTTTGCAGTAATGCTGCAGTTACATTCACAGATTCTACGTTCCTGGATCAATATGTTATAGTGAAACAGTGATAAAACACAAATGGTGCACCTTTCCAACAGGAAGGTAGAAAACAAGCTACAGTCCAGTTTTCATCATAAAGAGGCAGCCTCCAAGCTTTACCCACATATACACACCCAATGGACAAGTGGTCTCTGCACAGCTGGCTGTGAGACCAGTGCACAGAGCGTGTCTACAAAGAGCAACACCGAAAAAATATTAAATAACTTCACTGTTATTTTAGTACAATCATATTCAGTTCAACCATCAGAGCTCTCCTGTTGGTTATACTAAAAAATTTTTTGCATAATTGTGGGTAATTTTTATTGGCAAAAAATCTTCAGCAACTTCACTCTTATAGTGTAGTGTCACCACAATCACTTCATACATCAAGGGTCTCCTGCTGGTTACACTACAAAACTTAATTTAAATAAATAAAAAATAAGAGCTTCTGCATAATTTTGGGGAAGTTTGATAGGGAAAACTGTTCAGCAACTTCGTCCACTGCCTGTCTGCCGTTTGGTGTTTACAGTCTTATGCAAAAGTTTAGGCACCCCTTGATACATAACAGATTTTGGTGATTTTTTATTTGAACAGATGTTAACACAGTTTCTCTTGGAAATGGAAAAAATGCACAATATTTTCTGCAAACAGTGATGCATAGTTACTTCTTATGCCATAAATTGAACAAAAATAAAAAATAAAAACATTATTATGGCATGGTGCAAAAGTTTGGGCACCCTACACAATCAGTACTTAGTAACACCTCCTCTGGCAGATATCACAGCTTGCAAACGCTTTTCATAGCCAGCTAAAAGTCTTTCAATTCTTGTACTTGGGATCTTCTCCCATTCTTCCTTGCAAAAGGCTTCTAGTTCTGTAATATTCTTTGGTCGTCTTGCATGCACAGCTCTTTTAAGATCTACCCACAAATTTTCAATGATGTTTAAATCAGGGGACTGTGATGGCCATTCCAAAACCTTCAGCCTGCGTCTCTTGAGGTATTCCATAGTGGATTTCGAGGTATGTTTAGGATCATTGTCCTGTTGTAGAAGCCATCCTCTTTTCAGCTTCAGCTTTTTTACAGATGGTGTGATGTTTGCTTCCAGAATTTGCTGGTATTTAGTGGAATCCATTCTTCCCTCCACCCGTGCAATGTTTCCTGTGCCACTGGCTGCAACACAACCCCAGAGCATGATAGATCCACCCCCATGCTTAATAGTTGGCAAGGTGTTCTTTTCATGAAATGCTGCTCCTTTTTTTCTCCAAACATGCCTTTGCTGATTGTGTCCAAAGAGTTCTATTTTAACTTCATCAGTCCACAGCACTTGTTTCCAAAACGCATCGGGCTTCTGTAGATGTCCTGTTGCATACTTCAGACGTTGGATTTTATGATGGGGACGCAGATAAGGTTTTCTTCTGCTGACTCTTCCATGAAGGCCTTGTCTGTGCAAGCATCGCTGCACAGTGGAACGGTGCACCACCACTCCTGAGTCTGCTAAATCTTCCTGCAGGTTTTTTGCAGTCAAATGGGGGTTTTGATTTGTCTTTCTGACCAGCATACGAGCAGTTCTGTCCGAGAGTTTTCTTGGTCTTCCAGATCTCATCTTGACCTCCACAGTTCCCCTGATCTGCCATCTCTTAATTACATTTCTTACTGTGGAAACTGCAAGCTGACAACGCTTTGCTATCTTCTTGTAGCCTTCTCCTGCATTGTGGGCATCAATAACTTTCATTTTCAGGGTCTTACACAGCTGCTTAGAGGAACCCATGGTTGCTGGGTGTCCACAAGTGTGTGCACAAGGTTTGAAGAGTCAAAGTATTTGTACAGCTTTGAAATTGGCATTTACCAATGACAGCTGTTGCTGTGCATCAGATCTAACGAGCTGATTAAGGTCTGATACCTTGTGAGAGACTTTGAGACTCTGGAACTCTTAGGGTGCCCAAACTTTTGCACCATGCCATAATCATGTTTTTATTTTTTATTTTTGTTCAATTTATGGCATAAGAAGTAACTATGCATCACTGTTTGCAGAAAATATTGTGCATTTTTTCCATTTCCAAGAGAAACTGTGTTAACATCTGTTCAAATAAAAAATCACCAAAATCTGTTATTTATCAAGGGGTGCCTAAACTTTTGCATAAGACTGTATATAGTGTAACTGAAAAACAGGCTATCAAATGATCACATTCAGGTCTGGTCTTGGTCTTGGTCTTGACTTGGTCTCTGTTTATGTGAACTTGACTACAACACTTCTATGTGGATTAAAGGGTTTTTTTTTCATTTAGGGAGAAGCTAGCAGTTAGAGGGGAAGAACATAAAGGCCAGCACCCTGAGAAAACTTAGTTTTGTTTCACTTTGTGTATATTGACCTGATTCTGTGTATTTCTGCAGATTTGAACAAAATTACTTGAAAAAACAAAATACACTATAAAAGCAGCACCAAAAGGAGAAATAAAACACAACACAATAAAGCTTCATGTCGGCTCACCTGTATAGTGTATTAAAGGCCTTCTCACAGCCTTGCACATCACACTCAAACGGCTTCTCCTTTGTGTGAACACGGACATGGATCTTGAGGCTGTAAGAAGTGAGGAAGGCCTTTCCACAGCCCTGTTGATTACACACGAATGTGTACTCGCCCCGGTGTGTCTTCTGGTGTGTCCTCAAGTTTCCAGCCGTGCTGTACGTCCTCGTGCAGCCTTCAAACATGCACTGGTAGCGCTTCACCTAACAGAAGGAGGAGGGTGTCAGTACTTAAACACAGTAAATGGAATTCAGCTCTGTATGAGCTCATAAACTTCAATTAAATACTCTTTAATGCGCAGTTCAATGAGCCAGGAAGAAAAGTAATTTGTGAATTCAGCTGAGCAATAACCAGCCTTGCTGTAGAATGAAGTGACAGTCAGTGACTCAATCACCTGTCAGCATATGAAGCAGGTGAGCACAAAGGACAGGGATGATGACTAACCCCCATGCAATACATCCCATTGAAGTGTTTCACACAGCACTTATCTCATATGCATTGTGGGAGCCCTCTTTCTCTTTTCTCACACAAAAGCCCTGGGGCAATCTGAATTACAGCAGTGCATTCTCTTCTTTGAAAAATGCTATCCTGTACTAAACACAAAGCAAGAAGGAAGAAGCTTCTAGTTGGCCACTTTGATGAGATCCCTTTCTTAGCTAACATTATTCCAGTAATTTACTGCCCCGATCCTCTTAAGAGATCTTATAAAACATGTTACCCATATACAGAACATAACTCTCAAGATAAAAGGTTGCATGTCCAGCCTTGGCTACAATCTCTGCCTTGCTAAGGAGTCAGCAAAGACTACAATTAACCTGAAAGAGGATTTTGTGCAACATCATTTTTTAAAATAATAAACAAAACTAATATACGTTTATGAAACCACTTTGTTGAAGACATTTCAGATCAGGATATATGTTAGTTTGGGTCACACTGCAGTATAATTTACCTGAAGGCAAGGCAAATTGAGTAGCATTTTTATACATGGCCAAATGTTGAATACAAACAAACAAAATAGTTCTACCATAAAAACACTAATGATGTAACCAATAACTGTAACAAAACAGGTCATTTAAATGCCAATTAGGGGTGAAACCCTCCCAAAACCAAGACCATGAACCAAACATCAGTGGTCGGGGTTCACGGTTGCATCAATCACTCAACATCCATTGGCTGAGCAAAAACTTGCAGAGAAGCCATAATTTCAGCTTTGCCTGCAGTCTGCCATCCACTGCAAGCATACAGGAATAGTGAATTTGTTAGGCTAACAGCTAATAGCTTTAGATGTGGTTGTGTCGTGCTGAACAGATGGCATAGTCCATGGACTGTGGTTCTATGTGGCCTCATCTCCCTAATGTCTGTCTCTCTCCACTAGCCACAGCTTGTTCAGATCTGCTGTCCACCTGATTACCCTTCATGTGTTTGTATCTCTATCACCTTTAAACACCGAGGCAGCAGCAGTGGACTGTCGGGAACATGAATGACAGTTTTAAAAAAAGCAATGGTGTGGCTAAAAACACAGAAAAGAAGTTATAATCAGAAAAATCCAAATGCTTCAAATAGTTGAACAAGCAACAGAGAGGAGGATACCAGATAGCGGGTTTACTCAGTTTTATGGTAATTTGACATATATTCCCCTGGGGTCAGGAAAAGTGCTGAAGAAAATCATCACTGACCCCTCACACCCTGCACATCACATGTTTAAACTGCTCCCCTCCAGGTGTTTTTTGCCACAGGAACAGCTTTTTTAAACAAGTTGTCTCTCTCATGAACAATTAACTGAAATCCTTTTATGCTACCTCACTTTATAAAGAACTCTACTTTTTGCTATATCCAGGCCCTTCATTTCTTCAAATTATTATATTACATAATATTACATTATTTTCTTGTTATTATGTCTGATAGCAATGCCCTTTGAGTGCTGCTATCAGCCAAGACAAGTTCTAGTGTGCATTCACACCTAGATGAATAAACTGATCAGAGACTGGAGCAACTTTGTTACTTTGTTGTTGCAGTTGTGAACTATCATATGAAAAACAGTTTCTGATATAGTTTTTCTTCACAAACTATAGCAATTAAATCATCACAGAACCTGTAATTTAACTGGGTAAATTACAGTTAGACTATAGCATTAAAAATAAAAAAATTAAAAAAATCATTTATGTGCAGGTATTTCATGTACTGTATTCTTCTACAAATAATCAGTTAGTTTAACTCTGTTTACTACATTATTATGGTAAAAGTGTGTTCTGCTTTTTAGTGGTCCACATTATTGGTAATTCAATTTAAAAAATCCTGTTTTTCTTACAAAAATAAAAAAGGGGGTATGAACCGAGCCGTGGCGCAAATACTGAGGTCTGAACTGAATGGTGGATCTGATGAACCATCACACCCCTAGTGCTAATCCATCTACATATTTCATCATTCATACAGAGATTGGAGTTTTACACTACATTAAACATTCTTCATGTTGCAGGGAATGATGCCTTTGTCAGCAGGGAAAATAACGGATGCATCAATGAACCATTCTAGCAGTCTCAGTGATTCACTTCACAACACATTAAGTAACATTTACCATGAAAAGAACAAACTTGCTTAGCTGCTGCATATATAAAGCCGATTTAAATTTTCTTTCACTCTTACTAACAAACACTAATCTGAGTGGTGGGTGAGATAAAGCCATTAACTTTAAGGATGTGGAAGAGATCATTTGTTAAGCAAACATCCATTCAAAGCCACTGTGACAAGCCTGGTTAAGCTTATAGCTCAGTACGGCACTCTTTCACCCACACCATTGTGACTCCTCTCCACCATCAGTTCAATAATTTTAAACTGCATTGTGTGCCTTACTCTCCCACAAGTATAGTGGAAAGCACTTCATTAAAAATTAAATGAGAGTGAGAATATTTACAGCAGGTTGACTCTGTTCATCATTAGATTTTTTATGCCACTTGTTGACCAAGAGGCAGGAGTTTTCTATTTGTTATTGAAATCTTTGCACACCTGTGTTCATACTGAGCATTCCAAGTATAAAGTATCTTTAGCAGAACTAGGCAAAGAGATGCCACTGGCACGTTCACATTTCATGTGTATGTAGCAGCTACACATCTTCTATATATGGGTGAGATGCACTTGTTTAGACTTACCTCTCTCTGCTTGGTCTCTGGGCATTCAGAGTGCAGGGTGAGTGTGGCCCCCTCTATATTGCGTGGCATGGGTGTGGAGCCTGGATTTATTGTGAACTGGATCTGGTCTGCAGAAATGGTGTGGTGCACATATCCTTGTGACATGACATCAGGGTCAGCCATAAAAGCCAGAGAACCCTCCTCCTCATCTCCATCACCTTCTCCTTCAGTTAAGAAGGTGACTCCATCTTCATCCCCTCCACAGTGACCCTCTTCCTCACCCTCCTCATCCAGCCGGATGGGGTCCCGCTCAATGAGTACTGTTGTACGGTCGTAAACTCGACCAGAGGATGATGAAGGTTCAGCGATCAGGTCATCTTTGACAAAGTGGATTTTGTCTTCTTCTTCATCATCCCTCTCCAGGTGGTCCACCTCCACCTCAAAGTACATGGGCACCTCCGTATGAGGGCCATTCTCACTCATGGTCCCTGGTGCCTCTCCTTCCTTTGCAAGAAGGATGGCACACTTAACGTTACAGCCTAATAAATAAATGAGCAAAATTACTTTTCCATTGTTACTTTTGCTTAACAGAGTTTTTATGTATAGGAAGCAAGACAGTGCTTCACATAAGCCATTAAGAAGCAGTAAGACAAGATATGAGAAAAAAACAGTGTCATTACAAGAGAGGAAATTAAAAAGAAACTGAAAGATATAACTGCAAAAAGATGATAAATGGTGCATATCCATAGTTGGACAACTCTTCCACTGAAGACGAAAAGTCTGCTCACATAAAAATGAAGTGTACCTGCGAGCATGATTTGTGTAAATACAACCAGTTTTGAAGCCAATCCTAGTTCAAGACGCAACTTACATGAGTGTGATGCAATAACTCGAAGCCTCCTCAGCAAATACATTTTAAATGAAATTTAAGTGATGTAAGAAACATTTTGAAAACTAAAAATAACTGCATAATCATAGATTTAGGAATTCCCAATAAAGATAAGGGCATAGATGTTATTATAAATAGTTCTTATCAGGTAATTAGACTTCTTAATAGATTTAAAAAAAAAAGACTTATTCAAAGCAGAGTATTTAAAAATATATCCAAACAAATATCTGTCTTAAGGAAAATCTTGAATATCTGATGCGCTCACAGAAAAGACCGCTGTCATTTTGGAGGCCTGTTTCCTTAGCCAGGATCATTTACCAACAACTGTGCAGGCAGAGCCTCAAATGTCCGTACTGTCTACAAAGGGGTTTTGACAGTACTAAATACCAATGTAAATACGCCAGTCTACTCCTGAAGCCGACATTCATGTTATCTGTCAAAAAGTTCATTATACTCAGTAATAAAAACGTCATGCAACCTATTAAGCCAGAGGATAATAATACAAATTAGCATTTCTCAGAGACCAACAAGCCGAGATCTAGAAGTTTCTGATTTCAACCACACATCTCGAGATAGCAGGGGTTAATCTGATATCTAACTGACATTGTTAATGTTTCCTGATACCTGACATTGTTAGTTTCCAACCGATAAAAAAAAACTCATGTTACATAGGTGAAAGAATGTTATTTAAATCAGCTATAATGTTAATCGAAATGATTAGCTAACACTTGCAAGTTACTGCGCGGCTTAACAGTGGCCTGATAAACTCACAATAACCAACGTTATCAAATTTAAACAGTTTGACTAACAATACAGGAAGGTTAACCTAATTTATTGTACTGTCAGTGTTAAGTTAGCTAGCGTTACTGACCTGACGTTATTTCGGGGTTCTTCTTGGACGCGTCGTTACTAGTCTCAGCTGTCACTAGCGTGTTACAATAAATACTCCTTCATAGTTCGTATATTTCCCATAATAAATATGTCATTAGGCGTGTTTCTTAACATTACGTGACTTGTTTGCAAAGCCAAGATGTTTGTGTTTAGTCCTTGAGCCCTAGATAGGTTAGCGTTAGCTAAGTGACCGTCAGGCAGCTAATCAACTACCACCACCTGAACAGCATTGCTTGCTAACCACTAGCAACAATTTAGTTAGCTCACAGCTAAGCTAGCTAGTAACGTAGCTAGTTTACTATCGACAGCTGATTTGACCCATTTTTCCAGCAAAAATAAGTTCCATACTATTAAGTGATAAATTGGCGTGTTAACGCTTTAATTAACTGACTAAAGGGATATGACATTAAAATATATTTACCTCTAATGAAATTTAAGCCTTATCCCTATGCTCTGGGTGTTTAGCACTTCCTTTCTAACTCCTCCCCAGGACAACATACGTCACAGGCGAATATCCATTCGTAATGAATTATGGGAGCTTAAATATAACCAAACAGCAAAACACAAACACGTCTTTCTAATCTTATTATATAACTTGTCGACTTCTTATGTTGTAAATGTTTAAAAAAAAAAAAAATAATATATATATATATATATATATAATTGGGACTTGAAATGTATATGGCCTTTATACACAGTTCTTCTTTGTGAATGGCAACATGGATAGTGACGAAAATGTGATTTTCCCACACCTCGTTCATATTTTTATATATAAAACAATACACTATTGAGATCAGGAACAATAAAGTACAAAGTTTCTTTTAAATAAAATAGATATTAAAAATTGTTAGGTCTCTACAGATGCTCAAAGATATACATTTAACTGCATCAAAAGTTCACAAACAATGCTCTGAAACAAAACTAATATTAGGCAAGAACTGTCTCTTACAGCAATGATTCTATTCACAACAATCTAAGAATAAAAGAAATCATATTTCAGCATCACAATCATCATTACATTTCTTAAATATTGGACTGTACATGTTTTAGTGTTTAGCTTCAGCACTAAGGATGATGGAAAAGTCCTCCATCTAGGAGATCTAGGAGGAGCCTTGGGTTAGGAAGTGCTGAAAGAACTCCCGAGTCTTCCTCTTTTCTGCAAAATCCTGCTTTGTAGGTGACCTCAGGAGCAAGGAGGCAAAAGTTGTGGCTAGCAGAAACACAAAAAATTATTCACACTGCACAGTACAGTATAAGAAAAAGGTCTTTTCATGTTTTACTATCTTTATTAGCAGTCTAATTTTTGCATATTTCAAGGAAGGTGAATGTAAAATAATTATACCTAGATGTCACAAAAATGTATTATGTTGCTACAATAGTCAAACTTTATTTATACTAGGTAGGCTGAGTGAGCACACATTTTCTTTCATAGGACCAGACTGCTTTGAGTAATGAAAAGATTACTGAAAACAGCCCTTGAGTCATAAACAGTACAAAATAAAACAGGATTTTTCACTTTCACTTTGCTTGGCTTTATATTTTTACAGCTACAGTTTTTCAGCACTTAACATAGTCATAAAAGCACTAAGCAACAGCTAATAATAAACTGACAAATGAATGACACTTGAGCAAAATACATCCTTTGCTTACCCAAGATGTTGACATCTAATCGATTGCTAGCAGAATTCTTCAACAGCTCACGGAGAAAGGCAGCTAAATAGTTGAACACATTTTGATGGCACTGAGGTAGCATGGAAATAACCTGGAGAAAATAATTTAACATTATATAAAACAAAACCGAGAGATTAACTTTTATAGTTGAAGACATCTCTGAACACATTAATGGTGACTGACTGCAAGTTGTCTCACTCACTCTCTCACACTGACTGGCACTGGAACAGCTTTCTAGGCACTGCTGGTAAAAGCAGTAGGGAACCACAGGCTCTGGGAGGGCATCTAGGAAGAGAAGTAAGGCCTCGGCCACTGAGTGGTTGCTGCCCGCTGCAGGTCAGTACTGAGTTAAGGACATAATTCTGGAGCAGATTTGGCATGTTTTGAAATGTAGTAGGTGCAAAATAAAACCAAATATGCTGTACAGAAACACAAAGCAGCACATTTTTGTTGCACTGGCTTGTATGTCAAAGTATTGTATCTGAAATGAAAGTGGCTATAACAATAAAGGACTGACTTTTAACATTAAGTTTGATAGTGATTACATTACTTGAACAGTGTAGCAAGTGTCAGAAACTAGGTAGTTTCATTTTGAATCCAATATCCATGATACAATGTCAAAACAAAAATATCTTTGGATGTCACTTTTTACTTTTTTGAAATTTTCTATAAATTTAGACAATGGTTTTTCCACCAGTGGTTGTAATGGGAATAGTTCTGAAGGATACGAAGAGAATCTGGAATGCCAGTGTCAAGGCAGTCCATTATTTCTGCCAATTCACTCCGAAGTCCAGGCTGCTGAAATATGTCTTCCTGTAGATGGAAGACAAGACTGAATTAATCTTTGTGCCCTTAAAGAGCACATTTATACATCCAAACACCTAAAACAGTGGCACCTGGACTAAACAGAATGCTCTTGTGGTTTGAGGTGTAGTAGAGCTGCAGTGGACTTCGACTTAATTAAAATTCAAAGCACAATCATATATTTAAATTACCCAACTTAAGGGCTTAAAAAAAAGATTAATTCCCACCACCAAATCATTGTAGAGGTTCTACAAAGCGGGCAAGCAACTACTTAGTCATACCTATATCTTTGTAGCCTCAAGACAAGATTAAACACTGAAGCTTTAAATTTTGCCTAATTTCTGTGGCATGTAGTAAATGTCACTGATTTGACTTTATATGAAAGACAAAAACATGTGAGACATCATAACATTACACATTTCACTTTAAGGATTTGAACCTGCAAATTAAAGGAAAAACTGAATAGGAGTATCATCTTCGTTGACTATTACAGCCACCAGAACAAAACCCGCACCATGAGATGTTCTGACCTGTTTGACTGCATTGCGGAACAAATGATCCACCATCATCCAGAGTTCTTTCGGAATGTCTAAAGGCTTTTCAGAGTTTTCTGCATTCTCATCTCCAGACATCTCTGCCTGGTGTTAGGAACAAACACAGTGATGAACAGTATTTAGCTGAAAATTTGCAAAGTTATAAAGACTATGCTGGCCTGTGATAACCCTGAATGGACTTGAGGTATTTCAATGACACTGTCCATGTTCTGCATTGTGGGGACACTAACCAGTTCACGGAGGGTCTCTTGCGGCATGTCCTGGATGGGCTCCCTCAGTTGACACAATAAATGGATGGAGGTCCCATAGCAGCTGGGCAGATAGTTTCCTGTCACAGAGATGAAGTAGTCCTTGCCACGCTCCAAGTGAAGCACCAGGATTTCTTCAATCTGTTGCTTGCCAAGGTTGAGTTCAGGTGCTGTTGAGCAGTTTACAAAAACCTCCAGCTCAATGTCCACAGAACCACCTAGGTGTCAAGAGAGGTGCTAAGGTCATTACAAACACTTTCTGAAATAGCATTGGTGATTTAAACAAAACAACCATAATCCGTCATAAATCTCATTTCTTAAGACAAAAAACTTGCCCTTGAAAATCAAAAAGATCTCCACTTCTAAGTGATCAGGCCCAAGTTTGTAAAACCAAAAGGGAGGGCTGATCCTATAACAGAAAACAAAATCTGTGGCTCCTAGATGAAAGTGACCGTATGTGATCCTCACCCTGAGCAATGAAGCCTTTTGGGGGGTTGGCTGTAAGCCAGGGCTTGCAGTATGTGGACTCATTTGGCTTCTGGATAAACTCAAACTGACACGGGACCTGGCCGTCATTAAAGAGGCTCAGTGTCTCTGCCTGGTGCTGCATGAACTTCACGTCCTTAAAGTCAAACTGAAACAACAGGGAAGGATTCATGAGTCAATACAAATACAAAGCTACTCTATGGGATATAACTATCTTTTAATTATCTGCATTAGACCCAAATCCCAAGATCAATATACTGTCTGTGTAGCTTCATTAATGGTGGTTTACTTGGTGAATTAATCAAAGGAACATGGTGAGGCAGCAATTTATTGTACAAATTGCATGAGAAAGAGATTAAATCTCCCATTACACTGTAAAAACAGAGATAGAAAACTTTACCTCTCGCTTAGACAGTGTTACAGATGGGATACATTCATTCTCCATTTTGTCAATATTGCGTACAATCTCTTCAAAGGTCTTCTTATAGGTCTCTCCATTTATTCTCTTGATCTGGACAGGAGGAAGTCAAGGCAAAGAAATAATGCAGCATGAACATATGATGCAGGCACTGACATTAAGTGGGCAGATAAAGTCAAACCTTAATCCATAATTCATGTATTATTTTCACTTATTTTCAAACTTATATGAAGGAATTTAAATGAGGGCAACTAAGTTTTTCAAAAGAAAAAACCTACATTAAAAAAATTAGCAAAAAAAGGCTGGATAATTTACCCCAATGACGAGCACAGAACTGACTGGCTTGTGGTCACTGGTCTTCAGAGCCATGTGACTCTGATAATGTTTTTGCTTGATGTTCTTCCCTTTCCACAGGATACGATCACACCACGCAGGCACACGACATTTTTCACTAAAAACAGAATAAACAAGATGTTAATTCTCAAGTATGTTCATTATATTCCTTAATATACGAAGTATTAAAGGCAAATTTTACATCTGTATCACAGTTTATTTGTACATAATTTATAAAGGTAATGATATTACCCTAGCAGGGAGAGAAGAACATACAACACAACACCACTCCTTAGTAGTACTGAGAGGCAGGTTTATTGATAACATTAAGTAACAATGTGAAAACTGGGCAGCTTAGCTGATTTATTAAGACCGCCAACGCAAATTAAAGCATGCTGTAGTTTTCTGATTTTGTATAACAGGCTCCTTCAAATGTTTAACAAGTTAAGCAATCAAGTTTAAGAACTGCTACAAAGCTTTTTCAAAAATAGTTTTAACATAGTAGAAAACATTTTCCCAGTCAAAGACACACTTACCTTGTAGCCTAGAAAACTCCCACAAAACTTTGGAATAGAGGAAACATTAAAAACTATGTAAACAGTGAAACATTTCCAGGTGCAGCTGAACTGTACTGTTTATGTTGCGAAGTGAGTGAGTGAGTAAACAATGACTGGTTTACTCTTCACATATCTTTCTGCAATTATACTTAAAAAAAAGAACATAATCCTATCATATAAAATGATCTCCTTACAAAAATCTTTACTATTCATAGTCAGCCTTTCTTATGAGATTACCTTGTATCCCACATGTCAGAGCCAGTGTCATATTTGTAGGTAGGCTGGAAGTGAATCTCTCCCTCCACAAAGCCATCAAAAACAGCCTCCTTATCGATCTGCCTCTTGAGCTGTGGACGATATACAGCTGGTTAGTATCACCACTCAAACACAAAAGATGATTAAAGACTATTCAAATTTAAAAAGCAAAAAGAGAAGACCGCTGTTAATACTACCTGGTCAAAACTGTGCAGTGTTTCAAAGTCCTTTTTGCTGATTAGCTCCTTCACATCGTCTACGTCAAGGTCACTGATTCTGTAGTTCAGATCCCCAATCCATAAAACCACACTGTCAAAGGAAACAGATAGACGCAGACAATGAATTTGCTCTACATGGTCACTACAGGCATAACATACTAATCCTAAATATACATTTCTGGATTTGAACATAGGTTTGCAGAAAGTGGTCTTGGTTAGCACAGTTAACTGTATCATTGCTATAGTGGTATAAAACCTATATTAACAGTCCATAGAGAAGTCTTTAAATCATACTTGTGCTTCATGATAGTGAATGGAGGCTGAGTAGGGTCAAGCTGTCGAAACTGTAAACGGCTGCAAATATCCTTGTAGTCTTGATTACGTCTCTCATATTCTTCAATGTGGGCAGCTAGGTGAGAGTTGACAACACAGATGTCAGAGTGGTGGAAGCGAAAACGTATGGCCACAGCGCCCTTGTTTCCCTGCAAGTCAGTGAGAGATGCAAATGGGAAAGAAAAATTAAGTCAGAGTTATGTAAGCAACACAGCTGAAAGCTCTGGCAAAAAGATTTGGAAGAAAAAAAAACTGGTTTAGATTATATGTAACTTGACAATCTGATATTATGGAAAGACTTTAATAATGTCAAGTTTCAGATGGGTCTTGGTGCAGAGCATAAACCAGTCTCTCAGTATCGTAGGAAAGGATGAAGCCCCCACTGGGGAGAGGTCAGCCATCTGCTCTACACTGCAGGGACTGCTAAGTAAGCATAGCTGCATACAAGACAAGAATAGCCTATTCTGCAACAGCACATAAGGGAAAGTTGGAGCTGCTGGACGTAGCACTTAATGGCTCCAAAGTCCAAAGAAGAAAAACAATGAGCTTTACAGCACTGGCTCAGTTTGTTTATGCATTTTTCAGTGTACTTCACCATTTTTAATAAATTCATTTAGCGTTTAAATTTTCAGCACTGCCCAATAAGCCCTTGTGCATAACATCACCTTATTTATTACTACTTGCCCTCAGTCATTCCTTTAAAGAAACAGTTATTTCTAGGAACCCACAGGCTTTTTTTCTGCCATGTTCATTTGTTGTCATAATGTAATGTTTAGAAACTTCCTGTTTTGTGTCATAATTTAAAATTATGGAAACGTAATGTATTTAATGTAAAGTTGAAGGTGAGGCCAGTGACATTACCAATAGCTGACTCAGTCCCCAGTAAATTTTCTTTTAAAAATTCAACTCAAATATTTTTGGTACATGTGCCTGTTTAAAACATTTAAAGAAAAAACATTTTTTTTATTACATCTCTGACAAAGCAAGACAAAGGAGAGCCAGCACGGGAACCTGTACATAAAAGAAGAAGACCTGCAGAAACAGTCCTTACCATCCTTCCCATGATGCCAGTGCCCACAGTTTCAGCCTCCACATCAGAGATGAACTCTGCATGCTCCTTCTTCACATAGAAGATCAACATGATGCCTACCAGGCGCACCAACTTCACCTGCAGAAGAGGACAAGTAAACATGCATTTATACAGTTATTTATACAGAAGATGCACAACACACAGAGTAATGGAACATACTAATTTGCTGGCTATTGTTATGTTACAGGCTCAAAAGAGCTTTAATGTGGTTTTTGCTGCTTATAAAAGCATCTTAACTGTTTGTCAACTGCCAGTACAAGAGACAAAAATAGTATTTACAGCTGGATACATTTAGTCACGCACACTATCTTATCTCAAGGAAAACAAAGCTGAAAAGTACATCTGAAAATAGAAAACAGTTATGCATGGGCATAAGAAAAATAGTTTGATAAGCCTCTATGTCAATCCTAAAAGAATTAACACTGAGATATTTATGTAAAACACTTATTGCTGCTTGCCATGCCACATTATCAGTTACTGAGGATCCAAGTGTGCGTGCTTTAATCACACATCATTATACTGGTTTTGTGACTTACAGACATCCTGTAAGCCCTAAGATGGCTACAGAACACAGCCTATCTAAGAAAAGAGGAAGTTAATAAGTGAGAATCAGCATTCCGAGAAAAGGGAAGTTGATGAAAGCAAATAAAGGGAAGAAAAGAAAAGGAGCAAAAAGCAACTTTAAATACAAGGCCTGGCTTAACATTCACAGGTCCAGAAAAGCAAGATTAAAAGAAAAAACATTTCTTACCAAGGCATACTTGGCATCTGGATGCAAGGCCTCAGACACAGCCTGCATCCACTCCAGCTCTTTGGGGGTGTCATTGAAGAAGAAAGCCTCTTTACTGAGGTCAAGCTCCTGGAAACTACAAGGAAGAACAAATGGTTAAAAAGTTCTTCAAAGTCTAATTTACACTATCCCCTGAACCTCTGTGGCATTCACAAAACGTTTTCTCTCCTTAACAACGAAGTGTGGGCAGGGTTAGTGGACACCGAATGTTGAAGAATCTGTGGGTGGGTATGTTCTACTTAAAACAGGATCAATGGCTACATACATATGCCAGAGGTCTGAGCAGGATACAGTATGTCTGTCTGTGTAATGGCATTAAGCAGAGAACTGCACAGCTATTCTCCAGCAGGGTGAATGTGACTTACCCTACACAGTAAATGTCTGGAGGGTCGAGAGTGCAGCTGAGCCAAGGACGGAGGCTTTCCTTTGGTGTCTGTCCATTCACATTGTATGTGCCAAGGAAAAAGCTGACACAGAACAGGGAGAGAGGAGGAGTGGGCGCAAAGAAGAGGCATTCAGAGTTGCTGCTAAGGGTCTAATGCAAAATCATTTTTTTCTTGTGATTTCCATGTTACATCAGGGGAGATAATAGCACAACAATGACAGCAGTCTCTATCAATACCTTCCTGCTTTACTGCAGCACTCTAGCCCATGTCTTGAAATTCTGAGTAGGCTGAATAAACATTACAGCTCTTTTTCAGTAATGTTCCTATTAATTTACACTCACACAGAGCTACACCCAGGAGCTGTATACAGTGCATAAAGACAAAGGAGAATAAAAATAGTCTTATCTTCTGACCGCTGAGCACCTGCACTGAAACTTCAGTGCCTTACTGAAGGGCAACTCAACTGTGATTAATGGTGTGAGGGACAAGCCTTTGTGATTTACATCTCTGAGATTTATTCTGCAGGTCCAGATTGAAAACTGGCTTCCTTCCATTCAATAACCCCCTTCCGTGACCTTCAGGCAGCTGCAGCTCTGCTCATACTCTTACGCAGAACAGTACAGAGCTCCTTATTTTGTGCTGACCACCTGAGGTAACTAGAAAGTTGTTGAAGCTGTCTTTACACAAAAGTCTTCGTGTGCTGCTTTCCTAAGCCGTATTCCAAACCTGCACATCTGATATAAACAACTTCCTACAGCAACCAAATAACCTACTCACATGTCCAAATTATTGATTAGATATTTGACTATACAGGCTCTGCAGAAGCATTTGTGAACAAATGTTGTGAACCAGCAGTTAAGTGTAACATACCTGTAATTCTCCAGGTAAGTGTAAAGCTCCTCATTCTTCAGCAGCTCACACCTGATCAGATTGTCGCGCAGGCCGAACTGCGGCATGGTCAGTATCTGAGCCTTGTTAGACGGGGTGTGGCTGGAGGAGCGCACCAGGTCATCCCGGTCGTCTCGATTGGGGATGCCCCGACTGCACCCCAGGAGAGAAGAAATAACAGTTAGTCATGGGAGTGAGTGAAAAAAGACCAAGATATTGTGACATGCTGGACTGATTTCAAAAGGAACATGCATCAGGATGATCATAAACTGTGCATCTGGTCTGAGTTGTTTAAAGTTTTCACATACCAATGTATAGCTGACAGACTGTTTTCAGGATATTCTCTAACCTAATTATGCTACGTAATAATACCTCTCATAAAAATTATAAATGAAATCATGTCAAACTCATTCCACCCTGCTCACGACTCAGCTTAATGTAAAGTAGAGCACCACGCTGCTAGGAGGACACCAGGCTATGCAGTGAAGCTCTATTTTCATGATGCCAATATGGAATTAGGCTGAGAAGAGAGAAGGAAATGCAATAGGCCTCGACACTGTAATCTTCCAGGAATATGCTGTAACCTAACTCCATCTCAAAATATACAGGAAGAATTCATTCAAACAGAGCTAGCAAAAGCCTCCAGGTTAAACAACTGCATTGAACAAATTTGCATTTTGAACCTTTGCAGCCTTAAATAAAATAAACACTCCTCACCAAACTGCTGCTAGGCACAGACACACGCCACATGTTGTAAAACTGTAATCCTGTAACTGTAACCATTAGTAACTAAGCTAGTGTGAAATTACAATGCAAGCACATAACTGCACTGTGTTGAATGAATTTAACAAGTAAAAATTTCATGTGTTGAAAACACTTATGAGCGTGCAGATGATGCAGTTTTAGAACTTAAAATAAATATAGTTTGTACATGTTTTTATGAGGGGGAAATGCCATATGCCAATATGTCTGTTAAATGCATATTAACTAAGAGTTTACACATTGTCTGATAAATCAAGTGAAAACTGGACAGGAGGTGGTGACTAACCCCTCCATGACACTCTATACTATGCTCTGTAAATTTGCCACCTAGCAAATGCTGTACACATTTTTCAAACCGTGGCGAGTCATTTCAAACAGTCAGCAATGGAGGAGCTCTCATCAGCTGAAAGTTTGAAACAGTGGCTGTCAGACCAAAGAAGTCACATTCTTTTGCACAGAGAGAGTGGGACAAAGAAAGAGCAAACACCAGGGTTAACATCATTTTGACCTTTTGAGATGGGGAGCATTAGAAGTAGCCAAACAACTCAGATTTGATTCAGAAATAATGTTCTTCCTTCTGCATTTGTTAGCATCTAAAGCTAATACATTTGTTTTGGTAACATTAGCAACCAAGCATGGTCACAATTATAGCTTTGTATTGAATTAATATGATTTTAGTTACCGTTTTAGTCATTCTAGCTTCAACCAACAAGAGCTTTGTGTGACATCAGCAGTAATTACTATAATATTAATAAAATAATTACTGGACTGCCAATTTTACTTGTTAGTCAGCTAATCAGAGCTTCAAACTGGAGGTGGCATTTTGTAGAGTTTGTTGCAACCAGGCAGCTGTATTGGATGTGATGGGAGGGGCAAAAAGCAGTTTGGATCAGCTCATGGTGTCAGCTTGTTCTGAGTCTCACTAGACCCCTCTAGCAGCTTAAAGGAAATTAGGTAGAGTCGCTTTAAGCCTCAGATACAAACAACACATTTTGAAAAATGAATATTTAAAAACCTCTTTATGAGAAAACTCTGCAGGGCACCTTTAAGCAACAGTACTTGCACTTCAAATAGCTGAATATTCTAAGACTGTTCCTACCATTATGTAAAAACACTTAGTCATGTAATGAGTTTTGGGTTTGAGAGCTCCACCATGTGAATTAAAATAAAGGCCTTACCTCTCCACACTTGAATACACTCTGGACTTCTGTGTCCCACTGTTAGAACCGTTCTCTCTTTCTAAATCTCCCTTTTTGTCTAATGATTTCTCTGTTTGGAAAGAGCAGGAAGGGATAAAGAAGAATAACAAAATGTTTAATTTACTTGTTTATAAAGATAAAGCAATAGCATAGCACAATTCTTTTTTTGTGCCTGCAGACTGTCCGCACTTTTAATGACAGAATAATATCTTGTTTGCTGGTTGTTAGTTAAGACAATGCGTCACTGTGTCTTGCCAGCTACTGGGAGACCTTGCTATTGACATAATCTTAAAATCTGCCCAAGGCACTAATAGCCCAGAATTATACTAATGAGAAAGAACCCAGCTCTGAGCAAACCCATTCTACATCAAACCTTTAATAACTAATGTGGAGACTGAGTTAAAGCCTACTGTGACTAAGAATAAAACAAATACAGACAGTAGCACAAATGTCAGTAATAAAAGTGCCATGTCAGGGCTCAGTTATTTTATCTTGGCCATCTTTTGCGGTTGGTTACACTTGCTGCATTCTAAGTAACTGGCTTTAATGGGTGAGTGTGAAGTATGAGACAGCACTGCCCCTGTTTCCTGCAGCTTGGCAGAGACCACAGATGGCTCCTCTGAAAGGAATAGCCATGTTTTTGAGAAGGAAATTAAACTCTACCAGGTTATGCTTAGAGTGCCCCTGACCAACAGCATGCTTTAGTATTTAAGAGATAAGACACACAACATATCCCAGTTTTTTCAAGGGATATCACAGGCAGTATCTGTAATGCATTAGTCTTCTGATCTGTTTGTGTGCACCGTTCAACACAAGAACCCTGCGGCTGAAATACACTGAGATTACATTAACTGATGGGACATGAATATCAAACAGTACTAACATTACGCAACAGCTTTTGAAACAAGGTCACAGAGGTAAGGAAATACTACAGAAGTAATAAACCCCTAATTAAGATTTGAAAAAACTGTGCAAATCCCAACAGCACAATTTCAAGTACAAAGGTATGGATTTTGTCACCACTGTGTCTAATGTAGCACTAAAGTATGAGCAATTTAGACTAAACAAGTTTAGTGCTTTTTATTATTACTACCACAGTTAATGTAAAACTATATTTTCAATATTTTTGCCACTTCTTTGTTTTTGAAAGGAAATTATCTGGCCACTCCAACATGTCTATGTGCCACAAATCCTTACGTTGTCCATTTCATTTTGTAAAATAAAATAATCAAAAAGTTAAGAGTATGCAAGGTCAACTATAATCACCATTTTAAAATTCCCAGAATGATAAACTGATGCTTTAATTCAAAGCTAGTGATTTTGACAACTGAGTGAAGAGCAAAAGCAAATAACCCTTTGTTTGACTCAGAAAACTTGCACCAAACTGTGAGATGATTTTAGCAGCGTGTGCTTCAGGATTGCTACAGTTGAAATGATGAAAATCTCCTTGGGCATACACAGACAACTTACATGTAACTGCCAAACTGACTCAAGAATTAGTCCATGAGTATTAACCCTTGGGTTGCAGGAAATGACAAATAAAACCAGGCCCGTGAGGGATAAGTTCAAACCTATTTTATAGTTTGCACTGGTAATTTTACAGTACAGCAGTCTTCATTTTACTCTGCTGAGTCATATATAACATAAGACCAAACAAGAATTCTAGAAGTATTTCTCAGTGAACTACTGTTTTTGAAAAGGCAGAATAGTAATGAAAAAATAAACATTGCAAAAATATATACAAGTGTGTAACATTGTGCCTAAAACTGAGAATGTTATCAAAATAAAGTAAACACAGTATGCTGCTGCTGAAAAGTGAAACAGTAAGCTTTGTTTTTTCTACCTTAATGCTACCTGCTAATGTTGTAATGTTCTTAAGCAGTACTCCAACACTTTGTTGAATAAACCTAAGCAATAGGCCACAGCAAATGTTTGCAAGGCGAACCTGAACGAGGCCCTGACCCCCTAAGGGTTCTGTGTGAGTAGTGCAGTTATTACACGGTATATTTTACGTTCCTGCACATGCTTTGGTTTTCTCATTAAGTCTAACTATTTGCAGTTTCACATTCCTACAGTGTGCCTCTTTATCTGTGGTTGATCGCAAATTAGCATACATGTCAAACTGTTATGCCCTATTAGGTCAAAGACTCTGCCACATTTAAAACAGTCTTTTTTTTAAACTACAACTGCACGACGTTCAGCGTTGCACAACTTACAGTATGTACCATAAAGTTTATGATCACCAGCTATACGCAATTAATAGCAAAGAGACCAATTATGTGAATCTATTATTTCTCAACTGTAGATCAACAGGCATTTAAAAAGACACATTCCCTGCCTTAGTAAATGCCTGGATAGCACTGAGTGACAGAAAGACAGGTGAAAGTTAAGCAGACAGTGACTTAGTGCGACAAAAAAGTAACTTGGTGCGACGCCGTCAGTTTACAAACATTTAGCTAAAGCTAACAGACTAGGTTAGCTATGAGGATGAACGGCAAGTCAGCGTCTCTATTTTGAAACGGTTGTAGAATAAAACTGCACATTTCTGAAAGAGCAGGACAAAAACAGTGTCTGGCTGAATGACAGACTATAATTCTTTGTCACTAAAACACATTATCGCACACCAACCTTGTCAGGTGTGTCGTTTTCTGTCGCACAGAGACCACTGACATAATGAGCATTATCTAACTACCGTCTAATCATAAGAGCTAACGTTAGCACTAAAGGCAGAGACTGTGGATGCTATTAGTAACTTAGCTAATATTACTGAGATTTAACCACTGTTCCGCCAAACGAAACCTGGCCCTCTAGCTAATATGGCTAAAGTTAGCTTATTTGAACTAAGCTACTACTGCTCGCTAGCTTTAGCTGTGAAGCTAGCTATTCAGAGCCGACTGAATGCTACGGAGTGATGCAACGGCGTTTACTTTTCACCTCCTCAAAAATCTCGAAGTTAGCAATAATTGTTCATACCAGAGTCTCTCATCACCCCAGACATGTCACTGCACCGCTACCAAGCATTCTGTGCATAGGAGCAATGTCCAATCTGTCTCAGACCTGCCCATGCTAACGCTACGGAGGAGGAGTTCACTTTTCCTTGCTGCTATGCAGAAAATGCAACCGGAAAATGTTCCAGTTCAGTATAGGTTGAGCTCATACACTTCAAGAGGGCAAATACATTGTAAAATTACTGTGGGGATTAAGAAGAATAATTTCCACACAGTTATATATGATACAGTATGCACCATGTGTCATAAACAGCATGACCCTCATCTAACATAGATAAAATCAAAATTCAGGCTGCGGCCACCACCAGGGTTCAGGCTGTTGATTCTAGGCCTTACAAGAGAAGATACCAGGTGTATATTGCGGTGGTTTTCGTCCTGTTTTTAGTTTTCCTGGTAAATTAATTTGATTGCATTCCAGTGTGTGGTTGTGTTGTCTTTAATTTCTTGAGTGGGAGCAAACTAATTCCTTGTGTGCTTGCATACTTGGTGAATAAAGCTGATTGACTGACTGACTGACTGATTCTCACTCACTCTCTTAACAGTAGAAACACAGAAGGTGAAAGTTAGAGCGGCATTAAGACAACTGCATTCAAAGGAAGTGGTACTTGCAAAATTGTGTTATGATGCAACCCTTTGATGCAGACTTTAATTTATGTGAATGCTATAGATATAAAGAAGAACATCTCCTGTCACCCACTGCACAATAATAGGAAACCTATTCCACTTGGGAGAGAATTTTTGGAGAAGCTGGCTCTAAACTTCAACAAATAAAGATTGGATGCCAAACCTGTTTCCAGGTGCTGGTTGAGTTTAATGTTTCTTATTCCAAGGGGTGCAATTGTCTGTTTGACCACTCCATGGCCTCTGATAGCATTGGTGTACTTGTTGATCCACTCAAATTTGGGTTTCTGTATAGGAGACTTGCAAACCTCTGGAGAGGGACAGACCGACAGAGTGAGAGAATTAGAATAAGCTCAAATGATCATAATACTGTATCAGTGAGTAATACTACAAGAGCCTGAGCTGAACTTGGCATTTTCTGCTGATTTTTTCAAGCAATAGTAGAAAAACTATAGCAACACTGATACTGATACTAAGCTGCATGGTGGAAACAAGAATTCATATTTATTGATTCAACTAGTGTTAAAGAAATAGAGGAGTGGTCATTTCTCAAGCATTTTAAAGCATTCTGTTTCTTGCACATGGGTTTTGTCTGTATGATGAACTGTGCTCCTACACTGTAAGACCACACTTAGAGTGCTTTAAATGTGACTACAATTTACAGGTGCTACATTGCATTAAGGAATCTCACTTGTTCCTGCTTACTTTCTCAATTTCTCACACTCTTCATTTGAACAACAACATCAGGTGCCAGGTCATTTAATCACTAGTATTCCTTTGTGGCTCTCAGAGCACCATGGCAAATGTAACACGGAAAGCATATTTGTCTTTGTCCATGTTCAACTGGGGTTTCCACTGTGAAAAATAGTGAACCAGTGGCGAACGGGATTAGTACTCAAATGCAAAAGAGTGATGGGAACATATTTCTAACATAACAAAAGGTTTCCTAGAAAAGTCTCAGTCTCAGTTGACTGAGGTCTCTTGGCTATTGATTTGACTAATTGACTTTCATGGGGCAGCCCTACAATCTTTTTCCAGTTTTAAATGTGGTTCTCAGTATTTTAATGTCAAAATGCAATAATAATAAAAAATGTATTTTGTTGTTTCAGACATAATGTGCACCCAAAGAGATTGAAGACTGGCTGAGCAGGTTTTATCCAAACAAATGGTTAGTGCAGATTATTTGTGCTTCTTTATCTATAGCTGCCTTCTACTTTGTTCAGAAAAGAAAATCAAAAGATATGAATCCAAACAAAGAATCTGTGATGTACAACAGAATGTAAATAGGTGGCGTCCTTGTTTGTGCTACTCTCCTGTTGCAGTGAAAAGATTTAACACTTAATCTTCTTGTTGCCAGTTTTGTTAAGTGGCATGTATGTATGTTAAGTGGTATTAAATTAAAAGCATTTTTCTTAAACCTTTTACCAATGATCAAGTTTTTTAAAAGATAGTCAACCCTGAATAAAAGCAATACTGTAAACATATAAGAGGTGTCTCTATGGGCTGACCTACCACTCCACGCCCTGTTGACCTCGCTGAGAAAAAGCCGTGAGTTAGACCCAAAAGGAAGCCTGAGCTCTAACTCCTCATCCCGGTAACTTACTCTCACTCTGGTATCAGCACCTAGAATCAGAGAAAGAGCAAAGAACAACATGTGATGTTCAGTTTTATGTGGTAGATTAGATAATTAATATAATTGGGCTGTAATGGAAATGAGGGGAACTCACCCACAACTGCAAGCTCTTCTGGGGAAGAAACTAAAATGAGTGCAGCATGAAAAATGTGTTAGGGGAACTTCATAGGAATTACTGTCATGGCATTTGTCACAAGAAGCAACATCAGTGAAGCTGCCTTTGTTACTGTCAGTTTAGTTGTGATGATGTTAAACATATAGAAGCTGCTCACCTTCCACAATAGCAAAGTCAAGAGAGACGGGTATGATGTCCTCCAGTGACACATCATCAGCAGTAATGGCCATTCTTCGATGAGTGTAAATAAAGATTCTACAAAACATTACTGACTTTTCAATTACATTATTTTTAAAATATACTCTTAATTAATTCAATTATCAATTCAATTTCATCAAAGACAGGTAAGGATGTGGATATAATCAAAGTTAACCTGTATAACTTAATGTAATCCAATACAACAGCCCTGCAGTAAATACTTCCTCTGTGAAGTTTACATACTGTCATTCTGTGAGACCAGCCTGATGCAACTCTGTGGTAATTTGTGAGGCCAGTTCGGGGGATTGCCACGAACTGTGCTTTCCTTTGAAATCAAGCAGGCTGTATAATAATACACAGAGGCTATAACCAATTTGTACCATCTGTCAAAACTCACGCATGTTCTTTTGCAGACTCCACCAAGCCCAGCAGTCTGCTTTCTGTAATTTTATCAAACAGGATATCACATTGGACAGCATGTTTACATGTTAGTTAAGGATATCAGATCAGTTGTGGCATTAAAATGCTACTTATTATGTAGCACAAAAAAAACAATCTAATATTATAATTACAAAATACTATTGGGTACAATCGTGCTGCATAAAAAGTGCACTTTAAGTACATTTTCGAGATACATAGAACTGAGTGGCCTTTTGCCACTTCTGCCTCTAACTAGCAACAGCTGGTGAAACAAAGCTACCATCTTGTGGACGAAAGGTCTTACTACAAATGTTGCGCTAGATTTTAACGACAAACGACTAAAGCTGCTCTTATACCGAGATCTGCGTCGTAAATGCACTGTGTTGACTGAAATCACAGGCTAAGTCCTGTTTATTCAGACAGACTGCGGCCATGTGGCAGAGCCTTTCTCTTACAGGCCTGACTCTGATATTCTCATTCTTCACCGCAGTCGTGTTAGTTCAACTCAGTTTGAAGCAGGCAATCTTTAGTTTAGCCTACTAATCCATAAACCAGAATATGCGAGTAGTAAAGGATACTGTGATGCAGTTTTCTTCCTTTTCCAAAGTTTCTTGAATTGCGACGGACTGATCCATAATGAAGAGACTAGTGTGACAACTTCTGCCCCGCCTTTTCCAGAAGCAAGTACTTGAGGGGTTTCCACTAGACCGGTTATTTTTCTCCGAAGTGAAACTCGGGTGTGAGCCTGCTGCAGGAGAGACACTTCTGGGGCTCCCTGTAATCCGACATTGTTCCCTTTCACTCCAGATGTTTTCTCCTTCCTCCGCTGCTGGCCCAGCCCGACCCAGTCTGCCACGCACTGTGCACCCGGACTGACGTCACATCTGGGCTGGCATGCAGTCAGTTTGGTTTGGATTAGGCCTCAGTTTAGTGACAATAGACCCGTCTTCCTACTTCTGCAAAGTTAGATCAAAGCTTTCTAGGAGCTCTGGTGGTTAGTACAAAACCCCTAAGCGGGGTTTTGTCGGGAGGGAAGCCCACCTATAATACATTTATTCTGCTCAAAATAATAAGAGAATGTTATATATCTGAGTCAGTTTTGTAATGATTTGTTTTCCTACGGATCACAATGGCGGATCATATCTATTTAGCCCAACTGTATTTCTGGCATATTATTATTTTTGTCTATTTGTATTTTGTCTTCATTTTACTGATCTTATTTCATTCTGACTTTATTCTGGTTTTTATTGCTTGTTTTTGAATGGCATGCCAATGTTTTTTATTGGCTACATAAAGCACTTTGAATTGCCTCAATGTTAGAAATATGCTGTAAAAACAAAGTTACCTTGCTTTGCTTAGACCTAACTATGACCTTTGGCATTAACCTGAAGAACAAGGATCTCTACTCAGAGTCACCTTTGACTTATTAGCAGTATGGGACGACTAATACTGGATTTGTGAGGCCCAGTTTTATATCAATTTTTAAAAATCTGATAATAATACATTTGCCAATGCTATCTTAAAAATAAATAAATATAACTTAAACAATTGCAGTTATGAGCCCCTAAAATATTTAGTACAAATTACCTTTCACACCCCTCTATGGTTAGTATATGACACAATCAAATGAGGATGTATGAGCCATATTTTTATTGGATAGATAGATATATAATTTTTATGCACATAGATATATAATTTTTATGCACATAGATATATAATTTTTATGCACAATCACCATACTTGGTATAGTACACAAAACTAAATAAACCAATATAATTCTGATTTCATTTAACATTTATATGATGCCATTATACCATAAAATATACTTTGTAAACCACACAGTATAGACACAGAATACAACTCACAAGTAGCTAAAAGTACTGAAGTGCACATTTCGTTATGATTACATCTACAGAAATGCTCCAGCAAACCTCCACAACACCCTGTAGTAGCTTAGCATTTGTGTTTCATAAAGTGCATAAAGAATCTTAGCTGTGTTACTTTTACAGTGGCTTGGAGAGATGATAATCTAGAAAAAAGGTTTTGGTAATAAAACATTTATACCTGCTTTAACAGAAATGCTGCATTTAAGCTCATTCACCCGAAATAAATTTAGTCTACAATCGTAATGAAGTGAGAAGGTACAAACAAAAACCATTTTTAAAAAG